TAATTTCCTTTTTTATATTTAAAGTGTCTAAACAGCAGTTTTGCAAAAGTATTGGTGCTCAGGCCCAAGGTTATAATAGTTTTGCTTGTTCATTATAATTCGTTTATTTCGTTTTAACTTTAGTTTTTATAATTTAGATAGTTATATTTGTCGAAAGCAAGATTAAAAACACACACACACACACACACACAAGGGTATTGTGTAATAAAGTTAACTACTCTCAAACGATTGCTCGGACTTCCTTCTTCTACAAAGCCGTACAAAACAATACAGAAATAAAAACATTTAAAAAGAACCCCAAAAGCTCAAGTATAATATACATTGACAAATACGAAAACGAAGTTAGTTAGTTTTAGTTTGATAAACCGAAGATGTCGTTTCAGTTAGCTTTAATTAATTAAAATTCTAAAAGAATGTTTTTGTTTGTATTTTATTTCATTCACCTATGTGTACTTTCAAGAAAACTTTACTGTCAAGTTCGGATACACGTAGATACAAGACATTACAGCGCAGATCAGATTTCTATCTTCTCTCACGGTGCAAACATGCAAAGCCGCTTTAGAGTGCCTCGTTGTTTTTCTTTGTTGTTTTGCTTTCGACCGTCCTTGTTCCTGATTTATTGCTTTATTGTTGGATATATGATATGAATTTGACGCACCAGCGCACAATGAGGAAAAATCGAATAGAAAATGGATGGATGTTTTTATAGTATAATTTCAACTGTTGAGCATGTGTTAAAATGCTCCCTCAAATGATTTTTTTGCCAATTTAATTTCTAGTGTGCTTTTTGGTGAAAGACCATTCTGGTGGATCGGTGAATCCCAAGCGTTCATCAACAAGTTACCCAAGGTTAGGCAGTACTCCTCCACCTGTGAAAATGGCCCAGGTGAGAATTTATGTCAGGCCAGATGAGTCGTAACTCTTCTTTCGATTTGGAACCTTTTTTTGAATATGTGTCACCCTCCCTTATCAGGCAGTCCATCGGGACATGCTATGGTCACTGCGGCGGTCTGGTGGGTGGTGGCCTCTTCCCTGCGGTCCTTCCTGTACCGCCGTAATTGCAGGTGAGGTGGTCAACAGAACTCACTTCACAACATGATTATAGTTTGGTAGTTAGTGAACAATTCTCCACAGAAGATGCTGCAAGATGCTTATTAAAGTTCACTGTCCAACTAAACATAAAACAAAGGTGTGTTTAAAACAACCACATAATTTTGCCTTTATATATTCTGTCTTAAAGCTTAATGGGAAATGCCATGGGTGGGCTAAGAAAGAGCATCAGTGTTGCGGCCCTTAGAGCAAAAGATAGTTGAACACAAACGATGTAGCAACACGTGAAGATTGACAATATAAAAGATACTCAATACAGAATTGCTGCAAGGTCTGGAGGGAATAAAAACCTCCCGCGTTGACTGACACCAAAACAAATCAACAAATGACCGGTGGACTTTTCAAATCTGCCCAACAACTTGATTTCTTTCCACTTGTATTGTTTTTGTGTTACAGCATACCGGTCACCTACATACCCTACCTGCTCTACGGTACTTTGCTGGTGGTCGTCGGCATCTCTAGAGTGTTTGTCTTAGCCCATTTCCCACACCAGGTGGTTACTGGTTCCATTGCAGGTATGAGTACCTTTTATTGTGTGCGCTAAATTAACTTGACAAATACCGTACTGACTTTTGTCAAATTAATTTTGTGTGCAATGTGCAAATAGACCTGGCAAATACTGACTTAGTCTAATTTTTTTTTCTCTGAAAGGTCTTGTGGTAGGAATGTACCTGAACAGCAGGGTTCCAGAAAAGCGCTCATTCCGGTTCTTTGTTGGTGTCGCCGTCTCCTTGCTCCTTGGCACGCTGATATTAAACGCCGGACTGCGGCAGCTGGGCGTCGACCTCTCCTGGTGAGACCTTTTTGGTGGCTCATTTGGTTGCAGAGGAAATTGCTCATGATAAAACCGTCATGAAAAATGTTCAGTAAGGTGATTAGTAGTTCGATTCCTAACCACTCTGCCGCAGCATAGCATTGTGAGAGAAATTATTTATTCACAACAAACAAGTATTCTAATGTATTGACGCCAGTGATATTTAGTGACAGCCAGAACAATTATTTGCTCTTCCATTAGATGTCAGATGTTTTTGTGACATTTATTTCCAGTGGTGTGTCATGAGATTTTCACTCAAAAACACCTGAGGAAATGGAGGGAAAAAAAATTCCAACTGAAAAAATCTTTGGAGAAAAAAAATTGAATATGCAAATCTGCCAAATGCAAACGTGACATGTGCTGGCTTTGTAATGAAATGATAGGTCTGCGTTCAATAAAAACTACACAAAGAAATGAAATCTTTCACCTTGTAGGTCTTTGGCATTGGCGAAGAAGTGGTGCAGCCGCTCCGAGTGGGTTCGGCCCGATGTGGCCCCCTTCACCTCACTGGCTCGGGACTGCGGGGCCCTGCTGGGCCTTGGTCTGGCCCAGCACTGGAAGCCTGGCGGCTGGCCGCTGCCCTGGTGGGCACAGACCGTGTCCTTGGCGCTCTCGTCTGTGGCTCTGTACTTGGTGTGCAGCGCCCCGCTGCCGCTGCGACCACCGGCGCTCTACTACGGGCTGTTTTTTGTCAAATTTGCCATGGTGCCACAGATTGTGGTGCTGGTGCCCGGATTGATCCATTTCATGATGCGCAAGATGAAGAGGAGCTAGATTCTTGTATAACTTTGCTTTCGGATATTATTTTTTTTTGTTGCTATCTTTTGCTTTTTGTCTTGATATAAATTAGTGAATCTCATAACACGAGTTTATTTGGATCATGTTCAAATGTTGCATTCGATTTGGGCGATTTTGTGAAATAGCTTTACATTTTCATTTGAGCTGACCTCATACGAACCTGACTGTGGTTTATGGCACGCAAATTGTAACCCGAGGATGCCAGTTAGATTGTGATGGTGTACCATCATGAATTTCTTGTTACGGTTGCTGTCATTGCAGTGGCAAATAATCTTTATGTGGGACAAAGTTGGTTGTAATCATATCATTTAAGTTGTCACTTGTTGATGTCGTATGTAGTGCCCTAGAAGTCAGTCAGTGTTGCAGACAATAAACGACTAAAACATGCCCCGTGTTTCGGTAGGCAACCATTTATAAATGTTTTTCCCCCTCAATACATTGTACTGTACAGGTTACAATCAGTTAGCATGAGATAAAAACACATTCTGCTTACTTTTTTTTTTTTTTTTTTTTTTTTAATAATTTTGTCTTTTTATGTATATCACAGCGATCTGAAAGCTCACATGTACAGACAAGAGAACTCTGCTCGGCAAGCAAGTACATGAATCCAAAAAAAAAAAAAAAAAGAAACCAGGTTGGGGCAGTGGCAGGGGGGCACACCAGCCTGCTATACATGTTTCCGCTTGAGAAGAATAGAACATGCATCAGACTATTTACAGCCAGCTAACACACGCACACACACACAGATTTGAACCATACACTCTTGATAGCTTCAATTTAGAAGATCTCAAAATAAGTATAATACAGGCGACACCTTCATCTCAGTAAAGATAAGGGGGACATTAACGGTACCAGGTTGAACTCCCGCAAGCAGGTTTTGGGGGGG